TGGCCTGGATGAGCACATGATCTGTTGGATCAAGCACTGGCTGGGGCGCGCGGGCCAAAGAGTGGTGCTCAATGGAATCAAATCCAGCTGGGGCTGGTGGTGTTCCTCAGGGCTCAGTGTTGTGACTGTTTCTGTTTAATACCTTTATTGATGATCTTGATAAGGACATAGAGTGTATTATCAGTAAGTTTGCAGCCAGGTAGGAGTGTTGATCTGCATGAGGATAGGGAGGCTCTACAGAGACTTAGGTAGATTGGATCATTGGGCTAATGTTAATGGTCTGGGCTTCAACAAGGCCAAATGCCAGGTCCTGCACTTGGGCCACAACAACCCCAGGCAACCCTACAGGCTGGGGAAGTGTGGCTGGAAAGTGTCTGGCAGAAAAGGACCTGGGGGTTCTAATTGACAAGTGGCTGAATAAGAACCAGCAGTGTGCCCAGGTGGCCAAGAAAGTCAATGGAATCCTGGCTTGTGTTAGAAATACTGTGACCAGCAGAAGTAGAGAGATGATTGTCCCCCTGTACTCAGCAGTGGTGAGGCACCATTGTCAGGGTGCAATCCTATATCTCTAGAAAATATTCTTTACTTACAACACCTAACAGCTTGATGTTGATGACAAATGTCCAGGCTATATTCTAGTTGAATATATGGGCCCTCACAAAATTTCAAACTCACTAAAGTATAACATGATAAAGTTAAATTTAGGGTTCCAGGCAAGATTTTTGTTAACTATATCAAGATAATTTTCCTTATTGGAAATAGAATAGTCAAGTTATTTTTTGAGAATATCTCTAGCTTTTTTAATATTAATTATATAGACTTATAAGACTTATATTAATGATACAGAATAACTGTACTGTTATTGCAATGAAGATTATCAGATTAATAGGCCTTTTTTAGAATATTCATAATTGTTCTCCTTCTTTTACACAAGGGATCTGTAAGTATTCACATTTTAAAAGATACTGACCATGACTAATCATGGAAACTGCTTGTTTACCTGAAGTTAAGCACATGCCAAAGCACTACGTAGAATACATAGAACCATAGAGTGGTTAAGGTCGGAAGGGACCTTCAAGACCATCAGGTTCCAACCTCCCTGCAACGAACATGGACACCTCACAGCAGACCAGGCTGCACAAGGTCTCATCCACCTGGCCTTGAACACTTTCAGGGAGGGGGCTTCCACAACCCCCTGGGTAATCTATTCCAGCACCTTAATACCCTCATGGTGAATAATTTCTTCCTAATACCTAACCTAAATCTACCCTCTTTCAGTTTCAATCTATTACCCCTTGTCCTATTGCTACACACCCTTGTAAAAAGCCCCTCCCCAGCTTTCCTGTAGCCCCTTCAGGCACTGGAAGGCTGCTGTAAGGTCTCCCCAGAGCCTTCTCTTCTCCAGGCTCAACAACCCCAACTCTTTCAGCCTGTCTTCATAGCAGAGGTGCTCCAGGCCTTTGATCATCTACTAGGCCATTCTCTGAACTCTCTCCAACAGCTCCATGCTTTCCTGTGTTGAGGGCTCCAGAGTCATATGCAGTATTGTACATGGATGTACATACTGATGTATTTAATGGGAATGATCCATAAAATTACAGATTCACATTGGCCTTATAGAAATTAGAATTCTGATTTGTAAAATTAATAGTATATTACAGATGATTAGTCTACTTCATAGTATGAACTCATTGTTAGATTTTCTAACTGGTGTTTTTCTGTTAAAAAAATCTGTCCATTCCTAATTCATCCTGTTAGCTTCTCATTCCTGGAAGTGCAAGAAATTTAGTGCTTTCAGTTGGTTGGGTTTTTCCTAAATTTATGTCCAGTTTTTAGACCACACCCTTAGTACTGTATGTAGGAAAACCTAAAGGAAAACTATGGCCTTGAGCTGCCAGACCAGGTTCATTACTTAGTTCTCCTGTCTTCAGGCACGTTGTATGTCTCCATGTACTTCACCAACTACTAAGGCATTACAACTATCTGCTGGAAGCAGGAGATTGTTCATCTGGCAAGGGAAAAGTTTCTGTGACTAGTTTTGTATTTTGAATTGGTGATTATAATTAAAATCAGCTGTATTTTTGGACCATTCTCTATCTCTATATGTTTCCAGTGGAAACTTGTCTTATGTTCATTTGAAAAACATGCATGTATGTGTATTCTAATACATGTATCACTAATATATACATATTCTTTTCAAGACATCCAACCCTATGAAATGCCTTTTTCCTGTTACATTCCTCTCTGTTAGGCATCTCAAAATGTCTCTGTGGCTTTGTATTAATGTAGTTTTCCTTCAGTCAGTTCAAATATTTAATGTATAGTATGTATGTGAGCTTCTGCTGAGGATAAAACTCTTTTAAATTGTGTTTTTTATTAAGTACATAGTTGAAATATTTTTAAAGTCTAATTTGTGCTTGAATACTTAACCCCTACTAAGGTATTTAGAAGATGGAGACAGACAAGTGATGAGTTAATAGATTTAGAGGAAGGACAAGCCGGTGACACTGCTGTTAAAAAGGCTAAAAAGAGATGGTTTCTCTGTTGCTACATCTTAGTATGGTTTTGGCCACTAAAGAAGGAGAAAGAAGGAGGGAGTAAAAATTCTGCCAATCATATATTTAACTTATGGTTTGGGTTACTTGCACATACATCCCTACTCCACTTCATACAACTCTCTCTGCTCTACTCCACATTCTTTACTTTGTATCTATGAAAAGTCCATGAAAGTCATTGGGGACTATGAAAGTACAAGAGTAAGAGATCATTTGACCTTGTATTTCCTGAGCACCTCCAAGGAATCTCCTGTTTAAAACAGCTGGAAAGAATTGTGAATAAATCAATGTTATGGGTAGGACAACAGATGCAACTTTCAACACATATTTCGAACACTGGAAAAACAAATTATTTCTCTTTTCTGAAACACAGTGTTCCTTACTGGAAAAAGAAACAGAAAACCTCTTCTGCAGAAGCCAAGATCTCCAAAGAGTTTATGTGGCTTGCTAGCCACTGAGATGTTGACTGCCAACAGAAACATTGTGCACTTACACCAATAACAAACAATGAATTGCTGGAGGCAACAGCAATTACCAACACTTGAATAAAAGAAATCCTTGGAATTAACCATGTATCAAAACAGATTCTGAAATAAGAAAATGCCTTATTCTCAGCACCTACTCAACTACTTTATTTTAGATTGTGCCAAAACTGAAGGGTAGCTGATGTTCACATTAATTCTGACTGACAGTTTTATGGGAAAATCTGAGATCTCTCCCCAAGACCATTTGTATGGAGAAGATACTCCAGAATAGCTTGACTGACTAACACATGTCAGTCCTATTCCACTGCTAAATAGCTCCCAGTACACGTACCAGATTTCAGTGGCCTTCAGTGTACTATGGCTTGAAAAGTGACCATGGCTACTTCTGACTCAATGTGCAAGGTGTGTTCATTGTTAGAAAGGGTTAAACATTGCTTTTAACAGAGCCAGGGCTGTTGTCTAAATATAAACTACAGTGTCATTGGTGCTTATGGTGGTACTCAGGACATATTCTGTCCTTTTATAAAATCCGAGAATGTCATCAGCAGATGGAGTATGGAAGAGAAGCAATGTGGCTTTTTAATCCATCAGCATTGCCACCTAAAGAGGAAAAAATATTTCCTACCTACTAGCTGTTTCCATTTGTTTTTGATGAGAGGAAGGGAGCAAATGCTCAAAACAACTTTATAAAATAAATAGAGAAATTAGAATTGTTCTGCAAGTGCAGGATGACACATCCTTGAATTATTGTTTCTCTAATGTTTGCTAACATCATGTGTTTTGAATGTGCTGAACAGTTTACACTGGCTTCTGATCTCAGACTGTTAGTGTTTTTCTTCTGCATCTTCCACAAATTCAGCTTCATGCTGCTGACATGTTTCATAACTTTCCTTCACTGTCTGCCTACATCAATCTTGGAGCCTGAGGGTTTCTTTCTTCATAATCAGCTTCTTTAGTTTCTGCCTGGCTTTGCTTTCTTCAAGAACAGGTTCTCTCTCTGAGCCTTTCTTGTCCTGAATGTTTAATTTACTCCCTCAGCAATCAGTTTCAGTAATGTCACCCAGCAAAGGAAGCTATTTTTTCAGGATTAGAAAAAGTGACAGGACCTGTCTCTCATGCTTTCGTTTTGGGTATGGTATCATGGCCAGGTCAGTGTAGTATTTTGTGTAAAGTTGATGGGAAGACTATTCTCACTCTGAATATGAGACATTTTTATGTACATATTTCTGAAGTGCACTCTTCCACAAGAGTGGAAGACCTAATATTTTAAGCAATTTTCTGCGAACAGCAGACAGAATTATGGGTTGTATTCAGTACAGCTCAAATGGCAGGTATCTTGTTTTAATGTGATTAACACTGAAATTCTGTCATCAACAATCCTGCTGATGCAGGATTTACACAGTTAGTGCAGAGAAGGCCTAGCTCAGTGACAGGTGTTCAACCCAGTGGTTGAAGAGACTCCCTGCCCTCCCATTACAAGTGTCAAGGCCTTAGCAGTCCCTCTTCAACAAGGAAAAGTCAGCTAGGAACAACTGGGTCTTCTGGAAGAGATTCTTGCTAAGCAATTCCCTGTTACATTCCTTTGATGGACTTTGTTGATTTTTTTGTTTGTTTGGTTGGTTGGTTTTTTTGTTAATACAGGAAGAAAAAACAGTTAATTAAATCCATTCAGTGTTGAAATAAATTAGTCATGCTCCTGCACACCAAAAATTTTATGATTTAAAACTGTTCATATGATACTGCAGGAGTCCCAAACACTTGAAGTCCAAGAGCTTCTGACAAGAACTGAGAATGCAGAGGAACAGTAAAAGTTCTTCTTAACCCCATCCTGCAACCACAAGAAGGCTGATAGTGATCAGAGGAGAATTTCCTTTCATTACTGATTTTTCACCTCAAATATCATAAAAAGAGAAAACCTAAGGTGTCTTTCTTCCATTTTTCTCTCCTGGCCTCTTCACAGATGGGAAATTGGTAAATGGAGCACCTGCAGTCTTACTTGTGGGGTTGGATTGCAGACACGTGATGTCTTCTGTTCTCATCTGCTATCAAGAGAGACTAACGAGACTGTGATTTTGGCAGATGAATTATGCTATAAACCTAAGCCATCCCTTGTGCAAGCCTGTAATCGTTTTGACTGCCCACCCTCGTGGTATCCTACAGAGTGGCAAGAGGTAAGAATGTATATGCATAACAGCATTTTAAGAATGATGCAATAGTAATTACATGCATTATTGATGCACCATTTTGCTGTAGCCTATTAAGAGGATTCATTAATCTTTTTGATGAACCATTAAAAAACTGTAAAAGTGTTTAATTTTGCCCTCAAAAAAAAAAAGTGTCAACATTTCCACAGGTAAATAATGACTATAGCTACTTCTAATGCAACCTCTTAACAGCTGGCTACAAATTCCAGACAAAAATACCTAGAGTGTGAGGTTCAGCTGCAATGAGTGGATTTGGCTTAGCAATGCTGAAGTTTCTTGAAACACAAAGCTAAATTGATCCTAAAGGATCAATGAGGAGAGAATCTCTGAAGCATGTTGAGTGTTCTGTATATTGGCAAATAATTTAATTCATGACAAGAAACATTCCTCATCCTTCAGAGTCACAAATGAGTATTAGGCACTTCCCTTTGGTAAATGGATATCTTATTACACTGACTGAAAATTGCTGTCTACACAATTGATCTATACAAGGCTTTCCATCTTTGGAAAGCAACCTGAAATTAGTTTATTTATTGCCATCTGATCGCAAATGAAAATACTTGTGCCATTCAAAAGACTCAGTGATGCAACTGTTGGATATGGTACTGCATAGGAGGAAAGAATCTTGCCCTTTTATTAAGAGTAATGGAAAAACTTTGTGGTACAGAGGAGGTTCAAGCAAAAGAGGTGTTTAAACATGTACTTCTGCTGAGTGCAGGGACTCATTCCACCCTATCAGAAAACTATGAGCTTTCGGCATGGTGTTCACATGTGCCTACCCAGCCTCCATCTATAAAATCTGCTCTTTATTTAACAGCCAGGGAGATGTTCACATACACACCTAAAGAAACTGATAAGTCTATGAAGCTGTGCTTCATGAGAGAGGTCTCAGTTTGGGCAGCCATTCTAATAACAAAAATTTATGGCAGTCTGATGTTCTTTCAAAGCTAGATAACTAGCTTATGGAATGAGTCCTATGTTTAAATAATTAGTGATATTTCATGCTTTAATTTGTCTACTGATATTCAGATACATATATTTATTTAGTTGTACTTTTGAATATTTGTAAGATATAGTCCTACATGAATACTGTATTTTTAAATAGCAAATAGTATTCTACTAGCACATAACATAGTAAAATCAAGCATTTCAAAGTTAGGGTATCCAAGAAAGATTGTCTATGCTCATCAAAATCCTATAATTGGCCACAGTCCTTTCAGAAAAGAGTTTTCTCTAAGTTTATTTGAACAGTCAGAAGTGAGGCATATTATAACATGCTGAAAAATTTACTTTCTCCTAATATTTAGGCCACCCTAGAATGGTAGGAAAATAGTTTCCACCAGAGCAATTTCCAAACAGATTTTTTCAAGATTTGAACATCCTTCTCAACACTGTAAACATGCTTATTTCTGACTGTCTAAAGTAATGATTTAGCCACTTTTGTGTATGCTCAGTTGCTCTCAAATATACTGTCTTTTCAAAAGATGTAGCAGATTTTAGGAAGAAGACAGCTCATTTAAATATAAAGGCATTAAAAAGCATGTTAATAAGGAATTAAACCAAACTCCTCAGTTTGCACCTTTTGTTTTAGCTGCTGCCTTTTGTTATAGTTATGGACTGGATGGAGAGAGAGAACCTGTGCTACAATTAACTGCTGCAGCTCAGTAGAGGCCATGTTGTAGCTTTGCTGCACTTCCACAGGCATTGCAGGCCGACCAGCTGTGTGCGTAGCTCCTCACCATATGGGCACTGACTATTTCCTGTGCTTACTTTTGATCAGAGGAAAAGAGCACAAAAAATGTACTTCTCTACTTACTTGTCTTCTGCCTCTCTGTAGATGAGTATAGCTCAAGGCAGAAAAAAAAAAAAAAAAAAAAAAAAGATTAGCTCCCCAGCTTTCCATTTCTTTCCAAAATGAGCTCCAGTGCTGAATTTTGAAGAGATTATGCACAGCATCTTAGTATTTAGTTATTAGAATATACATTAGAAATAGTCATCATAGCCAAACTCCATGAGCTATGTTTATTTCCTGTGTTACCAAGATTTCCATTTGTGCTGTAGTTTGACTGCAGTCAACTTACCACAGTATTACATTAACAGTGATTATAGTACCTTAATGTCCTATTAGCGGTTTTAGGTGAGGAAAGCATATTTTAAAAATTACTTTAGCTCAAAAGACTCAAAAAAAAAAAAAAAAAAAAGCCAATTCATCAAAATTAATTTCCATTCTCTCATTTTCTAGACACATGTCTTCCTTCTTTGCACCACCAAACTCTACACTTATTTCCACTCTGCAGGAAAGCCAGGCCTCACAGTTCAGTCCCACGTAGGTTTCCCGTGGATGACCTGCATGTGAAAACCTGCACCATCAAGCCAGTGTGCCACACTTAGGGACTATTACAGCTGTTGATCAAAATTAATTTCCATTCTCTCATTTTCTAGACACATGTCTTCCTTCTTTGCACCACCAAACTCTACACTTATTTCCACTCTGCAGGAAAGCCAGGCCTCACAGTTCAGTCCCACGTAGGTTTCCCGTGGATGACCTGCATGTGAAAACCTGCACCATCAAGCCAGTGTGCCACACTTAGGGACTATTACAGCTGTTGGCTTCTGGTATGTGTGAAGGAAAATACTATTTGGACAGGATGTGAGTGCCTTAGTCTCCTTCTGGAGGTCAGCTCCAGCCATCTAGGAGAATGGCCATATATCCCTCCAGCAGGAGAAATTCTGCAGGAATATTTCTCTCCTTGAGTTAAGGCACATGCAACACCTCTCCTCTCCCCAAATGCCTGAAAGGTTTCCCCACATGTGAGGAGATGGAAGGCCCTGTAGGAAGGTGCCTTCCTCACCCTAAAGAAGGTCCTTTAAAGCTTCACCAACACTAGAGAGTAAAATCTGTTCTCCATACAGCCTGGTTTGAAGCCATTTCTTTTGTCTGGTGTCAAGTTCATTGTTCTTTTCAGAACCCTCTGTCACAATAGTTTCAAGCTAACAAACAAACAAGAGACTTAAACTGCAATGAGCAATGTTTTCTTTTCTAAGGCCTGTTATGCTAGCTAAGGAAGGACTGTCTGAATTAAATGCCTTAGAAACCCCAGTGTTCCTGGCAGATAAACACATGATAATTACCAGTGTTGTAACATTCCAAACGATTTTTAAGATAACTCTTTACAGAGTCAAGTCTGTCTATTTTTAAATAGTTCTGTCTCTTAGCTAAATCCATTAGGATGTTTCTCTTGTTTTCAGTGGTGTCCTCCTGGAGTAAAGTGGATATGAGCTTTTATTTTTACAAGGCCCTATAAATAGCTACTCCGCAGACCTCAGATGGGAGACATCCATTAGTAAATCCTCATCCTTCTGTGTTTTGTTACTAAATAAATACCCTAGTACCGCCTCAGCATTCTTTTTTAGCTGCTTGCTGCTATCCTTGCTCCAAAGATAATTAGAACAATGGCTTGACAAAGAGTCAGCATGGGGAAACTGGTAATATTTTCCGTATTTTTCTGTTTTTTCTCTATATTGTAAAAAGTCCTCTCTGAGTCTTCAAGTGTCAGACCTCAGAAACCAAGTTAAAGACCTGCTGAGAGAAAAATGTTTACTCCCTTTGCAGATGCCTTGTCTTACTGTGGAGTCACAGCAGAAAATTAATTACTGAGAGTGAGCCTAAAGTTGTACTGCTATAGTCCCTGCACCTTGAGCAGGGGGCAGTGTCAAACCACATGGGAGAACTGAAGGGTAGGACAACCCCTCGAACAAACGTCCCTGTAAGCAGGACTGATGGTAAAATGGCATCCTTACAAACATTCAGCTACTGTAATAGGGATGGTGCCATGAGTGAGAGTTCCCTAGGCCTTCATTTTTCATTAATAGTGGCTTTTTTTTTTTTCCTGAAGTTTGAGAAAAGACCAGACTCCCTGCCTGCTAAACAATGGAAATGGTGGTTTTGACTGAATTCTCTGCATTGCATTAATGCGTGTAGATGCTTATAGGCATGTGGTGAGGCAGAGAGATGACCAATCTTCACTCCCTGCTTTCAACAGAAATTAAGTTAGTTTGAGGCTACATTTATTTTTTATTCTGGTTCCCTATACAGCCATGCCATACCAGAATATGGGAAAAGGCAGAACAGGAAGGGCTGGCAGACTGGGGAGTATGGATTGTCTGCTTTGGTGTCAATTTGCCTCATGTTTGCTTAAGCTAATTTTTAGACTGAGCACAATCAGGCAGAGATGTGGGGAGATGTCAGTCCCTAAGTCAGTATCCTAGCATAGTCACAGGTCCCCTGTAAAGGAGTATGAGGGAATATTGGACTTGGTTCAGCTCAGAAGCTGTGTGGAGTGAGAGTATAAGGAGACAGTTCAAACAGCCACGTTTTACCTACTTGGATAGGTGAGGTGAAACCATCCTGTAATACAAGCAGGTTTCTCTGTTATAACAGTGCTGTAAGATCTTTCTGAACAGCAGAGAGAGTACATTATTCTGGTTGGATATATTTGAATGAGGATCCTCTAAAAAATATTTCAGATTGCCTGTAAATATAAGCACATGCTGCTGTCATTGATTACCCCCCCCCAAGGGTAGTGAAGACTCCAGATGTGAAATACAGGTACAGGCACAGATTCAGTGCAGTAATCCAGGACAGCTCTAGAACAGCATTTCTGTGGACAATGAAAAACCCCATTACTGCATTTGGCTCTCTCTCGTACTTAGCAGTAGAGTTTGGTGTTGAGTAGTAGGTTATTCCTCATGGAACATAACTATCTAAGTGACTGAAGGGCAAGAACCAAGAAAAGATATGTTTTATTTTACTAGTCTATCTGGTAGTGATGGAAGGGATTTGATTGATTGATTGATTGATTGATTGATTGATTGATTGATTGATTGATTGACAGAAGGAACATACTTTTGTTTTATTCATACAGTGCTTAACCAGTTTTGACTCTGTTATATAGTGATAGTCCTTAGGCAATCTTGAAATTACACTTTTAATCTTACTTTTCTTGATTTACTCTCTCCTCAGGAAATAATTGTCCTCAAATGAAAGACTGATAAATCTTCTTTTGTTAAAAATTATTGTTTTACTTGTTTAATTTTTATGGAAGACTTTGAGCTTTGTAGCATTCTAAGAAAAAAGCTATTTTTACTTATTAGAGAGCAAACCAAACTGAATTTAAGTATGCCTTTCTGCACTTCCTCTGTTTTTCAAGGATAACGTAAATCCTAAATTATTGAGCTAGTATTAAAGTTTATGTAGTTCTCTATCTAAGAGAGATATGCCTTTTACAACTGCAAGATTTTCTAAAATAGTCCCTCTTTAGCTGCTTGAGTATAAGTTTTAACACTTCTTCGTACCGATCTCTTCTTCTCAGGCATAATTCCCATGTTGCAAGCTCTATGCAGCTCCTGGTCGTGTCAATGTAGTGCAAGCTCCCCTTTCTTTGCTAGGAGAAGGGAGAATCACAGAATCACAGAATCCTAGGGGTTGGAAGGGACCTTGAAAGATCATCTAGTCCAACTCCCCTGCCAGAGCAGGGTCACTCAGAGCACATCACACAGGAACGTGTCCAGGCAGGTTTTGAATGTCTCCAGAGAAGGAGACTCCACAACCTCTCTGGGCAGCCTGTTCCAGTGCTCTGTCACTCTCACAGGAAAGGTTTTTCTGATGCTTACATGGAACCTCCTGTGTTCCAGTTTGCACCCATTGCCCCTTGTTCTATCACTAGACATCACTGAAAAAAGCCTGGTTACATCCTCCTGACACTTGCCTTTAACATATTTGTAAACATTGATGAGGTCACCCCTCAGTCTCCTCCAAGCTGAAGAGACCCAGCTCCCTCAGCCTTTCTTCATAAGGGAGATGTTCCACTCCCTTCATCATCTTTGTGGCTCTGAGCTGGACTCTTTCATGCAGTTCCCTGTCCTTCTTGAACTGAGGGGCCCAGAACTGGGCACGATATTCCAGATGCAGCCTCACCAATGCAGAATAAAGGGGGAGGAGAACCTCTCTTGACCAACTAACCACACCCTTTCTAATGCACCCCAGGATGCTATTGGCCTTCTTGGCTACAAGGGCACATTGCTGGCTCATGATCATCCTCCTGTCCACCAGGACCCCCAGGTCCCTTTCTCCTACACTGGTCTCCAGCAGGTCAGCCGCCAACAGGCCTTCAACTAGATTCTGTCTCATGGACCACAAGGAAAGGTGTTGAGTTGGCTGGACTGAGCAGAAAAGCTGGGATCCCGTTATCAGCCTCAGGAAAAAGGTTCTCAGGAAAAAGAGCTACCAAGTTTACAAAAAGATTTAGGAAAGCTATTAAATCTGCTTGTTCAAAATTTCCTGCCCAGCTTTGGTAGAAAATTGATACAGAAAGGGATACTTACAATAAAGAGAGAGGTGTAGGGCATCCCCTGGGTATTAATTATCCCAATATACTTTGGCTCCAATAAACCTTCCTCCTTACCTTTTGGCGAGAGTACACACTGCTGTCCAGACAGCTATAAATATAAACGGGTTGTATGGGTGTTTAATGGTTTATTCTATTAACTTTGTAAAGCAATTACTGAGACTAGCAGCAGATTTCAGCTGATAAACAGGCAAAATGCCATAATGCAAGGAGTCTTCAAAAACAAGAGTTCTGAGCTGGACAGTTAAGTTTTGAGCTGTACAACCAATAGACCTCATGCAGGTCAGAAAAGAGAAATGAGAAAACTACAAAAAGAAGAAAAAGCAAAGTGATAAAGTGGGGAATACTGTATTTATTACACTCAGATTTCCATTTGTTTTTCTTGCTAATAGAAACCTTTTTTAGCAAGCTAAATTTAAATATTTATTTCAAACTGTTTAGTTCATAGCTCCTGTTACCTCATAGGCATTAGCTATCCCTCAAAACTAAGGTCTTGAGTCATCTACTGGTGGAAGACTTTTGCACTCTCTCACACTGCCAGCAGCACAGTCAGAGCTCAGGCAGGCAGGCAGGCAGGCAGGCAGGCAG